AGTGAATTTGAACTCCACAGACGTTCAGGCAGAAATGAAGGAGACGATGAAAGCTGATGGAAACGGAGCAGATGTCGACGCTGAATGAGGAGGACAGGTGGGGCGTGACTCCAGGAGCGTCACCTCCACCCGGTTTGCGGTTTGTGAGACACATGACGTCCTCCGGGGCCAGCACACAGAAACAGGGGGGTTGACCTGAGAGTCATGATGATGATGGTGATGATGAAACCTGATAAACACAGGTAACAAATTCTACCAGTTTGGCTGTGAGGTCATTAAAGCTCATTGATTAATTGCTGAAAATAGAATTAATTTAAAACTCCACGTCACTGAAATGAAACTAAATCAGACTGATCTTCTGTTTGTCCTCGTCCTCGTCTTCGTCCTCGTCCTCGTCCTCGTCATCGTCGTGTCCGTGGATCATTGAGCTTCGTTACCGTCTCTGCTGACTCTCCGTCTGATCTATAACCCTCGTCATGCATGTTGATACTTCTTAGAGGGTGAGAGGTCACAGTCCGAATAAAACGATGTACGAGGAGGGAGAGTGTGTGAAAGAGAAGGAAAAGGAGTGAATGAGGGAGAAAGGGAGGCAGGGAAGGGGAGTAATAAGATTTGATCAGAGATAATATCCATGACAAACAGGACAAGGGGGGGCGGTATGAATAGGAGCGAGAGGCAGATCAGATTACAGATTCCTCTCCCTGACGTTTCCGCTCCATTAACTAATGGACGGCCTCTCCTCAGCGTCTCTGATGGATTGGGAATGTTACAGCAGATCAGTCGTGCAGCAGCAGCAGCAGAGACGTTAACGCACCGACTCCGTCCTCGTGGGAAAAGCAAGCGGCCTCTGTTTGAGTGACAGGAGCTGTGTGATCATCGTGTTTCAGCGGTGAGCGAGGAAGAGGCGTGACGTTACTGACGCCCTGTAGTCAGCGTCACAGCCTCTGAGAGCTGACGTAGCCGTTTCCACAGGAGATGAACTTGTTGCCGTAACAGTGACAGATTGTGACAGATACTTGTGTGAAGAGAAACTGTTCATTAAACATCAGCTGGTCATTAAAGTCTGTGCTGCAGGAGGAAACAACACACTGTTGTGGTTGTGATAATGTTAGCGATGAGGACGGTCAGATGTTTGGCCACCGAGTCTCTGAAACCTCTGAAATATCAGTTGGCATGTAGTTTTATAGACATAAACATGAGTTTTACAGAAGCATAATGCACTCACGATTCTGAAGAGATGATAATATTCTCAGGATTCAAGTGGAGCTTAAAAAAAAGAAGAAACGAGATAATTATCTCAGAATTCTGAGAAAAGTTTTCATTTAAAAAAAATCCTCCGTCTTTATCTCAAAATTCTCGGAAAATGATTAAAGAGATCAAGATTAATGAGATTATCTTCTTAAAAGTCTCAGATAATGATCTCGTTAATTCAGAAAAACTGAGAAAAGTTTTCTTAAGAAATAGAAATAAAATTCCTGCTCTGTTTTTTATTTTTTAATCTAATATATATACTGTATATATATATATATATATATATGTCTCCAAGCTAAAGTCCAAGTATAGGGGTCTTGCATATAGACCAGAGGCCATTTTACACAAAAATAGATTTTGACTTTGGCTNTATATGTGTGTGTGTGTGTGTGTGTGTGTGTGTGTGTATCTGGTTCAGACATTCATGTTCCCCTCAGGATGAATCCTACTGATCCTCTGTCTTTTCATCTATTCCATCATCAGGTTGACATGTCTACTTGTCTAATACTAACAATAATAATAATATTTCCTGCAAAATGAAATCCCATCAGCCTCAGCTGTACTTCTTGTTTAGCGCTAACGTGCTAACCTAACGTGCTCATCAGCAGAAACAGCCTCTGATAAAGTTCCTGTTGATGTTGTTGATGTGAATCAGTCGAAGTTTGTTTCACACGCTGATCCTTAACAACAGAACTGGTTTCAGGAGGTTCAGCTGCAAACTGAGTCTTTCATCAGCTTTGAGGATTTTAAAACTTTATTATCTAATGTTTTTATGACTCATGTGATTGTTTATACGAGGTTTAGTCATGTTATTTCTGTTTCTTCATCTGTGCTTTTCCTCTTAGAGTAACTGTTTTTACAGCAGTGATTTGGGAACAGCTGACAAGTAATACGTCAGATCAGGAAACAAACACATGCGTGTGCACGGTCGGACTGATTTGGAGGACTTGTTGTTGGAAGTGTGTTGTCACAGTGACTGCTGCAGCGTTCAGAGGAATCTCTCTCAGCGCAACTGTTTCCTAATTACAAATCTTTTCCTACTCAGGTTTAATCAGATGACTGAGTCCTGCACCTGAAGCAGCCTCCACACATTCTCTATAGTCCTGATGATCTGCAATTAGAGAGCCATCATCCTTCCTCTGTGGTTTGTTCCTGCAGCGCAGCCCAAAGCTAATTTTCGTCACGGCTCGTTACGTTCTCTTCGCTTCTCAGGTTGTTCCATCTCCCCCGCCGAGATCCGGCCATGTTAACAGACCCTGCTTCACTCCAGAGACAGAAGAGCTCTGTCTCTGATCAGTTAACTGTGGACGTCAGGAAAGAGAATCAGGACCCAGGGAGCTCAGATCTGATCAGAAGTCAGTCTTTTTTTAAGAAAACTTTTCTCCAAAGAAACATTCTGCTCTGTTTTAATTCAGACAAACAGAGCAACTGAATGCATTTCCATGGGAAACAATATGACTTGAAAAAAATGACTTGAAAAAAAATTGATTAAATCATTAGATCTGAAGTAATTAGATTAATTAGTTAAATAATAAGAAGAAGTAATTTTAAAAATAATGAAATTCTTTGTAATTTTTTATGCTAAAAATGCCTCAAACCTTCTCAGTGTAGTTTTACATCTCCTCTCTCAGGCTTCTCTCTGCAGCTCTAGTAACAACAGGTCTGTGAGCCAATCAGAAGAGAGGAGGCTCTGAGCCTCTCTTCTGATTGGCCGACTGTTTTCTAAGTGATCCAATAAAAATATAGCAGATTTCAGGTAAAAAAAACACTCAGAAAAACCAAATCCTGCAAGGTTTGGATGGTGGGTCCAGGTGGGCGGGGCTTGGTGACTGCTTTGTTGTGACATCACAAAGTTCCAGAAGTCCTGACGGCTGGTTTTAAGGCTCAGTTTCTGAATACAGGATGTGTGCATTTCTCTGTGGACTGAGGCTTTGATACTTTCACAGTATCAATATAGAACCTAGACCTGATCTATAATCACACTACACATGGACAGAGACCTTTACACTGGAGGAGCTTTAAGATGCAGGTTTCTAACTCTCTGTTATGGTCAGTGGAAAGATGTGAGTGGCTCAAACAGACATGAACTGAGGTGAAGACACATTTAGAAGATCTGAAATTTGTGTTTCCATTTCACATTTATGTTTACAGGTTTACAAAGTTTGATTTACAGCTACAAACTTCTGTGATCACTTTACAAGCTCAAACTCTTTTTGACCCTAATCTGACCCCGTACAAACAGACTCAGACACTTTAATGTCAGAGTTTGTTCCTGTTTTTTGTCTGTGTAACAAAGCAGAAGTCAGTGAGTCAGATGAATTATTATTTTTTTTGTTGTCATAAATACTGACCTTCACACACACACACACACACACACACACACACACACACACACACACACACACACACACACACACACAGAAACGGAATGCAGTTAACATTGACCTGTGTGTGAGATTTATATGTTCCTGGTAAGTGATGCATGGCTTTCAAGGAATCAGGGTGTGTTTGTCTTTGTGTGTGTGTGTGTGTGTGTGTGTGGTCCAGGTATTACTCATGTTGTGGGGACCTAAATCACATTATGGGGACAAAAAGCAAATCCCCATAAAGTAAATCATTATATTTTAAGGTTTGGATTAAGGTTAGAGTCAATGTAATGTCGCGCGCGTGTGTGTGTGTGTGTGTGTGTGTGTGCGTGCGTGCGTGCGTGGGCGTGCGTGCGCGCGTGCGTGCGTGCGTGTGTGTGTGAGATATATTTATGACTTTAATAAGCTCTCAGCTCTCTGACATTTCAGCGTTACCTGCTCATCCTGACCGCTGCTCGCTCTGCATCCGCCTCATTATCTGACACTCTGACCCCGCCCCCCTGCTGACATCATCAACACTGTTTTCAGAATTAAACCGGCCGTCTTCCTTTCTCGGATGATACACAGTGAATTTAACATTTATTGACATTCTGATTGCTGCCGTCCTCCTGTGAAATCCTCTTATCTCCAAAAAACAAAGACGAATGTTTTTAAAAGTTTTTTGTCCAATAAATCCAGTATTTTTAATGTAAATATCTTCATACATTCACATAAATGTTCAAATGTGTTTTTATGTATTTATTTTTCAGTTATTTTTAGTGTGAATGTGAAGCATCTTGAACGTAGCTCCAGCTCTGGGCTTCTTCATGTGTTCACATCCTGTGTTTACTTGTGGGTGACTTTCAGCTTGTTTAGACCGTAGTGTTCACTCTGAGTGGATTCAAGTTCATTATTTTCATTGATCTCTTGTTTATTATTGAATATTTATTCAGTGTTATTTCCATATGTGCTGTGTGACCTGCTCTTTGTGTCTGCTGTGATTGTTGTCCTCGTGTGTGACCTCTCTGACCGATCACCACCTCTCGCTCCTGATCCCTATTTGCTCCGTTTCCATGGAGACAAGTGGTCTAGGGTCTTTATAGCCACGCACACGCTAACTGCTAATTTCTAATTGCCTGTAATTAACCTCTGATGACTGATTTTAATTTTTTCAGGCCATAAATCAGAGAGGTGCAGCCTCTTTTCATTTTATCTTTATTTATTTATTTCATCTGTTTGTAGATCAGTTAGACCCTTCCTGTGTGTGTGTGTGTGCGTGCGTGCGTGCGTGCGTGTGTGTGTCTGGATGTAAAGAGCGAGAGATGAACAGAGAGCAGGAAATAAAGAACAAACGTGGTCTTTGAATTTTCTGAGTGAACTCTTCTTCTTCGTTGGTGTCCTCAGGTGTGACGGGACTGGTTCACCTGGACGAGAACGGAGACAGAGAGACAGACTTCGCCCTGTGGGACATGATCGACACCAACAGCAGCGCCTTCCAGGTGAACACACACACACACACACACATCGTGTTATTGCTCCATGTAACAGCAGTATTCAGTATCTTGCAACTTGTAAATGTAAAATAGAAAATGACTTGAAAGGTTTAAAATAGTTTCTGATCTGATATTGATCAGTTTGATCTCGGTGTCACTGATCTGGGGTCTGTAGACGATCTCACGTCTGTGTTTTCTCTTGTTTTCTTCCAGATTGTTTTGGTTTACAACAGCTCCGAGGAGCAGCTGACGGCCATACCTGGGACATCGCTGCACTGGCTGGGCGGAGTCTGTCCTCCTGACGTCCCCGTCTGCGGCTTCAAGAACGACAACCCCGTCTGCCTCGCCAGTCAGTGGATTAGCTGCAGTCACACACTGTCGGTTTGTTCATGTTTAATCGGAGGTTATTAAAACAGTTTCTCCTCCTCTCTGTCAGAAACAATCACCATCCACCAGATGGTCTCCATCGTGGTCTTCTTCATCTTCACCATGACGCTCACCATCACCGTCTTCATCTACAGGTGAGAGCGGCTGCTGTTAGTCCACATGACTCTGACTGAATGAATATCACAGGGGGAGGGTAATTAATGAAATACTCTGCCTCCTCCTCCTGACAAATATATATACAGTATACATGTGACACAATGATTTGCTTATTATTTATTATTTTTAATATTATTTAGCAGTTATTTAATTATTTACACAGATGGCTGCAAACCACGGAAATGTGTCTTTCTCTGTGTGAATTCAGCTGCTTTACATTTAGAAAGTCACTGCTCTGAAATCATAAAAGCAACACTGTGTAACTTTTGCTGAGCAGCAACAACAGCGCCCCCTGCTGCCACAAGTGGTGAATACAGGACTTACAATCACACTGAGGATACTGAGCTAGCTTCTTCTTATAGCTGGAGATCCAGTGGAGGACCTGGTGACAACAACCTTTTTATCACATTAACCAAGTGTTTTAATCAAGCATCAACCTCCAGCCTGAAACATGAAGAACCAGAAGCTGCAGTTCCTCTAACAACCACTAGAGTCTGGCTCCAACAGTGAGTCAGTCCCCATAGACTCCCATGTTAAAATGTCCAACTTTACAGCAGAAATAAACATGTTTACAGCCTGGTACAAAAACTGTTTTGGTCTCTAGAGCTAATTTCCTCCTTCATGACACCTGTTTATATAACTCACCTGTTTACATTTTATTAAGGACTAAAGTTATGGAGGATTGAGGGCGACAGGTTGCCACAAACCGCCACGCACCAAAGTCTCATCTCCACACAGGCCCCTCCTCTTTGACCATTTTTGGATTAGCTGGGAGTTAGGGAGCAGAGTCAGCCAAGATGGCGACAGTAGAGCAGCTCACTCTGAGCTTCAGAAACCTGTGGGTGATGTCACAGTTTGAGGAACAGTTTGTCTGTAACGTCTCTCTCTCTCTGCAGGAGGATGAAACTGGAGAAGGAACTGGTGGCTCAGCTCTGGAGGATTTCCTGGGATGACATCCAGATGAGTAACCTGGACAAAGTGCTGCGGAGCGGCAGCAGGATCACACTGTCACTGGTCAGCACACGCACACACACACACACACACACACACACACACACACACACACACACACACACACACACACACTTCACTGATCACTCTCTGATTCTGTAATTTTGTCTTTTGTTCACTGTAATAAAGAGAAAGACTTTGTGTTACTAATCAAGTGTGTTAAAATTACTCTTTTACACACACACACACACACTGACCCTGTGTGTGTCTCCAGAGAGGCTCTAATTACGGCTCCCTGATGACTGGAGATGGAAACATCCAGGTTTTTGCAAAGACCGGATACTACAAGGTCAGTGAGTCTTCGTCTCTGTGCTGATGATAAAGACTGAGACTGAATGTGACGGAGCACATCTGTAATTACACACATCTTCTTGTCTTTTGTCTCCTCCGTGTGTCACTGCTCTCGCCCTGCTTCCACTGATTTATCCTCCATCAGTGGTTTCAAACACACTGACTAAAAGCTGCAGCAGCAGGAAGGAAACCACTTTACATGTTGAGATATGAAAAAGGCACAAAACAGTTTGTTTTTGCACTTTACTTTTCACTTAAAGATGCATTTAGAAAAACTTAAGGAAGCGGCTTTTTAGCTGTAGGAAGAAAGAAAAAATACAAAATAGTTTTCAGCTCTGAGTTCTCGTCTGTGGTGACAGACAGAAAAAATGTAGATTAATGGAAACTTAAAAGTGCAGGAGGAATGTGGAAGTTATAATAATATATACTTCATCACAGCAGGACGAAGCACCTCAGTGTGATCTTCATCTAACATTTAGTCAATTAACTGATCGATCGATCGATCGATCGACAGAAACAATTAACCAGCAACTATCTTGTAAATCAATTACTCACCACTGGTTCCAGCTTCTCAAACATGATGATCTGCTGAGTTTTGTTTGTCAATTGACAGTGACAGTGAAGGGAACATGGTTGGGTTTTGGACTGATGCTTGGTGATCTGATCTGGATCAGGATCAGGATCAGGATCTGGATTATGGTCTGGATCAGTTTGGGTTGTGGGTTTTTTGAGTTGTTGAAGCTTCTCTTTGTTTTCCTGCAGGGAAACATCATCGCCATCAAATACATCAACAGGAAACGCATCGAGCTGAACAGGAACATCCTGTTTGAGCTCAAGCATGTGAGTGTGTTTCATCTTTAAATCCACAGCAGAAATACAATTATCACATTATTAAATAATAACCAAAATATAAGAGCATCAGCAAACATAGAGTTTAAAGGTCAGAGCTGGTCTCTGATCATAAAAGGTCAAAGTATAAATCAAGAGAAACACGTGAGGAAATGTTTTAATTCTTTGTTGTCGTTGTGGCTGTAATGAAAACTGCCAGAGACACTGACAACACCTCATACTGTTAATGAACCTTTAGTTGTTGTTGTTGTTGTTTTTTGTTTTGTTTGTTTGTTTGTTTAGATGCGTGACGTTCAGAATGAACATCTGACCAGGTTCATCGGAGCGTCCATCGACCCCCCCAACATCTGTATCATCACAGAGTACTGTCCCCGAGGAAGTCTGCAGGTACAGCTACCTGTCTGTCTCTCTGTCTGTCTACCTGTCTGTCTGTGTGTCAGGTTTGCACTTGTGTGTATTTAGTGTGTATTTAGTGTGTATTTAGTGTGTATTTGTGTCTTCAGGACATCTTGGAGAACGACAGCATCACTCTGGACTGGATGTTCAAATATTCTCTCATCAACGACATCGTCAAGGTACTTTTCTGTTTTATCCTCCACGTCTGTTCTCACTCTCTTCTTCACTGTTATTATCCAGTGGTGTCGTCACAGTGATGATCCTCTCTCTCGCTCTCGCTCTCTCTCTCTCGCTCTCTCTCTCCTCAGGGCATGGTGTTCCTCCACAACAGCGTCATCTTCTCTCACGGTAAACTGAAGTCGTCCAACTGTGTCGTCGACAACCGCTTTGTCCTGAAGATCACCGACTACGGTTTGTCCAGCTTTAGGTCCAAGAGCGACTCGGGGAAGGACGCTCACGCCTACTACGCCCGTGAGTCACCGGTTCAGACATGGGTTCAGACATTTATAATACATTATATACATTTATATAATGTATAAACAAATGTAATGTAATTGTAGAAACGTGTCACTGACATGACTCCACCCCCCCCTCCTGCAGAGAGGCTGTGGATGGCTCCAGAGCTACTCAGGATGGAGGCTCCTCTTCCTCATGGAACTCAGAAAGGAGACGTCTACAGCTTCGGCATCATCCTCCAGGAGGTGGCGCTGCGCCGAGGAGCCTTTTACTTAGAGGGAGACCCCCTCAGCCCTAAAGGTACAGAGTGCAGAGCGTGTGCACACACACACGTGACATAACAAAACAGGTCTGGAAACGTTGAAAACCTTCAGGTCTGATCTGCTGAGACTCAGATGAGAGCAGAATCAGAGACTAGCAATTGTGTCAGAACGGTTAGCGTAGCATCTTTTCAGAACTGTTAGCGCAACTGGAATCTTTCCAGAACTGATAGCAAGGTTAGCTTTTAACTGGCCGGGGCTGACACAGTTTTAGCGGTTGTGCTAATGCTAACTCACATGGTTTCAGGATTATTTAGCCCCGTCCCCCGGTCCCCACAAGTTGACAGGATTGGTTCCTTAGGTTTGTGACGTATGAAACCCTGGCTGCCTGAATCTATTTTTAATCATTCATTGGTTCACTGCAGTTCAAGGAAATACTCAGTCATGGTGTTCATGATTATTTCATCATCATATATCTGTATTATATAAAAATAAGTTGATGATTTCAACAAGAAATTCAGTTTGCAGCTGCTGCTCGAAGTTTCAGATCTGATCTTATAACTAATGAGCTCTTCCAACCTGAGATGCATTTACAGCATCATTTGCTAATGAAGAAACTTTCCATGGTCTCATCATCCTTGAGCTCATTTGTCTCTTCCTGTCTGCACATCTGTGTATTTTCAGAATAAATGTAACATTCAATAACAATAACAATTTAATACTAATCAGGAAATGATGTGTCTACAGTAAGCTGGCAGCCTGTTCTCTGCTGAGGCTGCATGACAGAAATAAATGAGTCTGAGCAAATAGCCCAGTGAGATCCGTGTTTTTGGGGTTTCATGTTGGTACTTTTGTGGCCACGTGCTGACAACAGATTTGTTCTAGAGAAAACCTTCTCTCCAGGAATAAACCGGAGATTTGAAAAATTAGACAGAAAGCTGAAAGGATTGGTTTGGTCGGCCAAAACCTCAGAGTGAGAAACCGCTTCGTCCTGGAAAGTGGAGTTTTTGGGTAAAACGACCTCAAACTGAGGTTGAGACCCGAGGTAACGTCAGTCCACGTCCTCTGGAATGAAGGTTTGGTTTGGAGCTTGGCTTGTATGACAGATTTCCAAAGTATGAACCTCGAAGAACGAGGGAAGGAAGAAACAGAATCAGTGAAAGTTTGAGTCAGAACAAAGTCACCTCAGGTCAGATCAGTAACGTGCTGCAGCAGCTCTGCTCCTCATCAGAGCTGAATCTCCTGAGTTTATACCAACTGAACTTCAACTGAATGAACTTAAAAGTGACAATTTCAACTACAGACTGTAAATAAAGATGGACGTCGCCTCCGTCACGTCACCCACAGGTTTCTGAAGCTCAGAGTGAGCTGCTCCACCATCGCCATCTTGGCAGTGTCTGACTCCGCCCCCTAACCCCCAGCTAATCCAAAGAAAGGACAAAGAGGAGGGGCGTTTGTGGTGCTGGGACTTTGGTTCATGCCGGTTTGTGGCAAACATACACTCAACCACCTGTCACTCAAAGAGGCCACGCCTTCAATCCTCCATAACTTTAGTCCTTAATAAAATGTGAACAGGTGAGTTATATAAACAGGTGAACATGAAGGAGGAAATTAGCTCTAGAGACCAAACATGTTTATTTCTGCTGTAAAGTTGGATATTTGAACATGAGGATTCTAAAGCCGCGTTTCCACCATAAAGTTCTTTTTTCTTCAGGAACTGAAAGTTTCCTGTGGCACATTGTTGTCTGCGTTTCCACCGCAGCCTTAAGTCCCGGGAAGATGATGCAAAGTTATGACTTGACATCGCATTATTCACTTTGAGGACGTAACATGAACGAAAATACCGCACAAATTGCGTCCCGTATATATTCAATACAGGACGCAGCATTTTATTTTCAAATACAGGACGATCCCGTATTATACGTGACGGGTGGCGACCCTCGCCACTCCGGTTGTTGTGGTCCTTTTTTTTTTTTTGAAGTCTTGTTTCAGTTTTTTACCTTCTCCCGGACGTGTTTGGCGCTGTGGAAAAAGTGTTTGCTCGCTTGGTGCTTGCTGCAGACTTAAACATCGTGGGTGAAATAAAATGCAGCAAATAATCGACCAGTTAGAAATGTTCAGAACGGCAGACCACACCCCCCAAAGTTCCTGAACCTTTGGAAAGAACTACCCCCCGAACAGGTACCTTTTTGGGGGTTGATCAATCACCCTGTAACAAAATTTAGACCCTGGTTCCTGCGGTGGAAACATGGCTAATGGAGATTGACTCACTGTTGGAGCCAGACTCTAGTGGTTATTAGAGGAACTGCAACTTCTGGTTCTTCACTGTTGATGCTTCATGTTTCGGCCTGGAGGTTGGTTCTTGGTTTGAACAGATTGAAATAAATCAAGTCTCAGCTTCACACAGGCCCCTTCTCTTTGACCATTTTTGGATTAGCTGCGGAGTTAGGGGCGGAGTCAGACACTGCCAAGATGGCGACAGTGGAGCAGCTCACTCTGAGCTTCAAAACTGCTCTTCAGAAACCTGTGGGTGACGTCACAGAGGCGACGTCCATCTTTATTTTACAGTTCATGGTTCAAACAAACTAATTTGATCTGATGCCGACACCTGAGGAGGAAAATTTAATTCCTGAGTTTATTAGAGACTCAGTGTTTTGGTCGTGGACTTTTGTCAAGTCACAATGTGAAATAAAAATGTCTTTATACTAAAGAAACAGAGAAGTGATGTGAATAACAAATCAAATGACAAATGATCAGAACGTTAGACGAGCAGCAGAGAAATGTTTGTTTTCCAGCGTGAATTGGAAAATTTAAAATTTAAAATTTATAATTTATGGATCATTTTTACGAGTGAAATGAAAAATGCTCTACGAGTTTGTTCTTTTCCTGACCTGATTAGAAACTGCTGCTTTTCAGTTGTTGAAGAAGAAGTAGAGAGGCAGAAAACAAAGTGGAGGGAGGGAGGGAGGGAGCTGGAGCGATTTAGTCTGAGTCGTGACGAGGACTGAATGAGGAGAATTAGAGCTGGAGTACGACACAACTGAAACCAGCAATTACTCCATGACGGAGGGGGAGGGGGAGGAGGAGGAAGGCTGTGTGAGTGAGAGGGTGAAAACAGAAAGATGGGACGTTGGCTGAGCTGCCAGCTGGACGCCGCCGCCGTCACTCAGCAGTCTCCGTCTCTCCAACACTTTCCAGGACTCGAACCACCGGCAGCTTCAGAGCCGTCCGCCTGCAGCCTGTCAGAGCTTCACCTCTTTAAAACAGGCTCGTGGTGCGAACACTAAAATCACTGCTGTTGCTGAGAAACACAACAATCGCCGTGGAAACGTTTCAGCTTCCAAACCGCAGGAGAAATGTGTTTCTAGGAATTTTAGAAGGAAAAAAAAGATTTCTCCTCAAACTCAGCGTTAATATCAAGACTGAAAGTTCATCCTCGACTCGAAGCAGCAGGTTACGAAACACAAAATCAGCACAACAGCTATTAAATGGACCATGTGGAGCTTTCAATCATATCACATCATCTTCCTCAGCAGTTGGAGTTCGTTCAGTGTCACAGGATCTGAATTTTTAACCCAATGTGGAAAAGAAATCCTTCAAATTAAATCTCAACATCTGTCCGAAGTCTGTCCGACTTTGTTTAGGGTCAACAATGAGATTTCAGACACTTTATTATCATTTTATTATTATTATTATTATCGATGACATCATCATTAAAATCATTCAGGATCTCTGCCAAGCTGAGGAACAGAATATTTTCTCTCAATATTTCCTCAGAAATATAAATACATATATATATATATATATATATATGATAGCGCCTTTAAAAACAATATGTCAACAGAAAGCTGAACAAAAACAGGACAGAAATAAGGTGAAGTTAAGAGGGAAGACATACAATATAATTTTAATGAATGAATGAATCATTTAATCAGTTAATTAATAAAGATATTTAGAGAGTAGATGCCACATGAAAGCAATAAAAGGAGACGACGTCACATAAAGGAAGTTTATAAAAAATGTTTTTTCTGCCTCGTCTCCTCCAGCACGTCGCTCTGACGCCGAGGCGTCCTGATGGCGAAGCCGCAGCCACCTTTAGATTTAACTCTCGAACGACCAAAGATCCAGTTATTCACAAAGACAGAGAAATGACATTTACCTCTGCGTTACTCCACATGTAGAAACGTCCTCCATCACTGGTCTGTGTCTAAGTATCTCAGCATTGATCTCAATCACAGTTATTTAGAGTCAAACAGATCATCTCTGATTTAAAATGAACTTGTAAACGACCAAAGCAAACAAAGTTTTATTTTTTAGATTTTGATAAAAAGCTTTTATTTTGAAGCTCTCTGGGCTTCTGAGGAATCATCCATAAATAAATACAGTGTTTTCTTTAATTGCATTTAAAGGCTTGAAGGCTTTTTTTTGTGCACAAACTTCTGTGTGAATTAAAAGGAAGGAGCTCATTATCTCTGATTTCAGACTCAGATCATTAACATCTTCTCCTCCTCGGTCCAGTCTGGATGAGTTTCCTCTCACCGCGATAAACACATCTGTTTCTACTGAGAACACTTGTTATCGAGTGTCACATCAGTATCTGCTGAAGAAGACTGTGAGATGTGGTTGAAAGCTCCGGATTACAGCTGCAGAGACTGAGAGTGAATAGAAAGAGTTCATATCTCCCTCCCCCTCCCTCTGCAGAGATCGTGGACCGGGTGGTTCTGGGCGAGTGGCCCTGCCTGAGGCCGACCATCGACACCCAGAGTCACAGTCCGGAGCTGGGTCAGCTGATGCAGCGCTGCTGGGCCGAGGAGCCGACGGAGAGGCCGGAGTTCAACCACATCAGATTGCTGCTGCGCAAACAAAACAAGTAAGACTCACCGAGCAGAGGTCAGAGGTCAGAGAAACAACATCCTGTAACTGTGTGTGTGTGTGTGTGTGTGTGTGTGTGTGTGTGTGTGTGTGTGTGTTCAGGGAGTCAAGGACCAACATCCTGGACAACCTTCTGTCCCGTATGGAGCAGTACGCCAACAACCTGGAGGAGCTGGTGGAGGAACGAACACAAGCTTATCACGAGGAGAAACGCAAGGCGGAGGCTCTGCTGTACCAGATACTACCACAGTCAGTACACACAGTACTGCAGTACTACACGTACTGCTGTACCAGATTCTGTGTTGTTTACACCCTCTCTCTTACCCCCCCACCCCCCACCCCCCCAGCTCGGTGGCGGAGCAGTTGAAGCGAGGGGAGACGGTTCAGGCGGAGGCCTTTGACTCCGTCACCATCTACTTCAGCGACATCGTTGGTTTCACGGCCATCTCCGCAGAGAGCACGCCGATGGAGGTGAAGGGTCATTCACACGGACGCCATGTTTTTACATCAGCCCCTGACCCTGCATCCTTTAACACTCTGAGTCTGAGTCTGTCTGACCTGGTGACGTGTGATGTCATCAGGCAGCTGTCTATCAGATGTTAATATATTAAACAGTATCTGTAAGGATCGATCAGGTCGATCGGGTCGGTCTGATCGATCGCCCGACGACAGAGTGAGACACGTTTCATCCACAATGTCTTTATTCCTTTAAACACATCAGTCAGTGTTTACCTGTTCTCACCTGTTGACCCTGCTCTGTGTGTGCAGGTGGTGACTCTGCTCAACGACCTCTACACTTGTTTTGACGCCATCATCGACAACTTTGACGTTTACAAGGTGAAACAGCGACACAGAGATTCAGTTGGTCGTTAATTAGTTTCCAGAGGAAGGAGTCGCCTCTTCGCTCTGATGAGTTCTATTGATCGACAGGGATCAAAGTTTCACTGCAGATCAAATGCTCTTTAACTTTTCACCTCTGAAGCTTTTCAGGAAGAAAGGAAGCAGTTTCTCATTAAAAAAAAAAAAAAATGTAATTGTCTCTGAAACCAAACGTCTCTCCTCCAAAATAAAGATATTCACTAAATCAGTTTCTGAAAGAAGCAAATGGTAGAAAAAGAAATTTTTTTTAAGATAAATAATATAAAATAAATATTTTGAGCTAAAAGTGAAAAACCTTTAACCTCTCAGGTGGTTCAGACTTTGTTCCACTTTCATCAGTGTCTCTCTCTCTCTCTCACCTGGTGTCCGTGGTCCTGTGGCGCCCTCAGGTGGAGACCATCGGCGACGCCTACATGGTGGTGTCGGGGCTGCCGGTGAGGAACGGGAAGCTGCACGGCAGAGAGATCGCCCGCATGGCGCTCGCCCTGCTGGACGCCGTCCGCACCTTCAAGATCCGCCACCGAGCGGAGCAGCAGCTGAAGCTGAGGATCGGGATTCACAGCGGTGAGAGAGACACAGACGCATGTTATCAATATAAATATTCATGTGTCATCAGGTTCATGAAGACATGACTTAGTGGTAATGTTCTGTTCTTTAAACTCGACTTGAGGATATTTGACATTTTTCTTTGAGGAATCTTGGTTTTCATTTCTTTTTCTTTCTTATTTTTATCAATTTATATTTTGGAGCTTGATGTTTGGATTTTAGAGGTAAGAAGAGTTAGTGATGAAAGTGTTCTTCACCTTAGAGCTCAGTGTGTTTCTGAGAGTGGGGGAATGACATAATCACCGGGAATTGAACCAGCGATCCCGAGCGCCTTAACCACTCAGCTATCTGGTCACCTCAGTCATGTAAAGAGTTTCGATTATCAGGAAACTCTGCGGCTCTCACTCTGCACGGCAGCAAGTGTTATTTATGCCACATCAGAATGTTCACACACAGATGAACAGTGGTCATCGAAAGCACCACGAGTCTCAGTCATGGTGACTAAATTACTACTAAATGTCAACACTTAAACACTTCCTGTTGTTTTGTCGGAGGTTTCATTTGATTTTCTGTTGATCGACTCGGTCTTAATCCTCGCTCCGGGATCTTGTCTGTTGTCATGTGACATTTAGCTCAGTCCTGCCTGTAAACTGGTGAAGCTACGTGAGCAGACGTGCTACAGTGACGTCCACCTACACTGTAAAACAGCTGATTCATAGAGACTAATAATGTTTGAATTTACATTATGAGTTAATTTAATATTGAAAACAAAATGTACAAGACTCTGTAGTAAGCTTTGTGCTCACTCACTCAGGTTGACAAACACTTCATTTAAAACATGAAATTTAAAGAATTTAACTAATTACCCTGTGTGTGGGTGTGTGTGTGTGTGTGTGTGTGTGTGTGTGTGTAGGTCCGGTGTGTGCAGGGGTCGTGGGTCTGAAGATGCCACGTTACTGTCTGTTTGGTGACACCGTCAACACGTCGTCTCGTATGGAGTCGAGTGGAGAAGGTCAGACACCTGATGAGAGCCAAAGTAACAACACTGCAATGAAATAAATAAAAGGTTTCAAAGTAAAAGCACCCATTATGAACATTGTCCCTTTGATTGATTAATTGATTGGTTGATTGAAATGTTATATATTAGATTTGGTGCTTTAAGTACATTTTGCTAATAAGTGCTTTTACTTTGAAACTTTTGAATGCAGTGAGTGTATTTACATTGCGGTATTGTTACTTTATTATATATTATATAACTGTTTTATTGTTAGCTTTTTAAAAAACATTTTGTGTGTGTGTGTGTTAACTCAGCGCTGAAGATCCATGTGTCGGCGACGACCCGCGACGTCCTGCTGGAGTTCAACTGCTTCCAGCTGGAACTGAGAGGAGAGATCGACGTCAAAGGCAAAGGAAAGATGACCACCTATTGGCTACTGGGAGAGAGCAGCAGCCAATGACAACACACGGCGGACGAGAGGATGACGGAGGAGAGGAGGGGATGAATGGACAAGGAGGGACAGGGAGGACGAAAGGAAACAGGGAAGTAGGAGGCAGATAAGGAAACGAAGTAGAGAGAAGGGAACAGAGGAGAGGATGGAGGAAATGAATGAAGGAAATGGCTCCTCTTCGTCAGACGACTCTTCACCTCCGAGAAGATTCTCATTTCTGAACAAAAAAAAGTCCTGGCTGGTTTTAGATTCCACAACATGGAGGAAAGCAGCGTTACGTTCCCAAAACACACATGGACGAAAACACTGTAAAGACTCTACAGGACAAAGTGTGTGAGAGACCAAACTACAGACAGAGACAGGAGGGACAGGAGGGACGAACTGATCTGAAACCTGCAGAACCAGAATCACACTGTACAAACAAAAGGCTGAAACATGCAACTGAAGGAGCAGAGACTCTTTATGTTCTGTGTTCCTGAGAAAATCTAAAGGTCAGCTGGTTCATGCTTCACAGCTGATCTGAATTCCCCGACTCTGAGGTTCAAGCTGAGGCAGTTTGACTTTTCTTTCTTCTGAGCTGTGCAGCTTTCCAGACGTGTGACACGTGTCTTGAACAGTCCAGGGTCAGGTGTTACTTCACCTGGTCCGGGTCTGTCTCATCCACAGTGACAGTCCCACAGGAAAGCTCAGAGAAGCAGCTGTTTGACGCTCTTCATCAGGAGGTGGGGAAGTTAACCCAGATGTACATTTACCAAAAAAAAGTAATCCGCATCCTTTTAATATTTTCTCTTGTTTAATGGAAAAACAGGTGAGATTTAAACTTTATCTTTAGTGTTTTCAAACTGTATTTTTCAGTTTTACTTGATGAAGGATGAAGATGTCGGATTAACTTCCTCGTCTCCAGTAAAGAGCAGCTGCTTCCCTGACGTGGACGAGACGATTCAAAAAAAAAAAAAAAGCTCAATAAAAATATTAGATTTGTTTTCAGCTGTTTCAATTTTTCATGAACTCTTTTGGAAATGTGTTTTTCTCTGTAAATAAATGACATTTCTCTGTGAATTTAAAGAACCATTGTGAAGGATTTAGTGACATCTAGTGGTGAAGTTGCAGTTTGCAACCGACTGAATCCGCCCCCTCCCTCACCCCTCCCTTTCCAAGTGAAGGAGAATCCACAGTGGCCTTCAGGTGACATAAAAACGTGAGACACCCCCCCACCCCGAGAGCCAAGAGAGTTTGTCCGTTCTGGGCTTCTGTAGAAACATGGCGGCTCTGAGGAGGCGGGGCTAATGAAAACACAATGATTCTTAGTTTCAGGTAATTATACACTAAAAAAAAATTATTATAAATATTATTTTCCATTTCTTCTGATAGATCCCCTCAAATCCTCCACACTGGTCCTTTAAATATAGTTTTTTATTTGAGTTAGAAAATGTCCCATAACCCTCTTTGTTTTTAACCTTGGTACAATCACATGATCTTCACATCTAATGGGTTAAATTTAACCTCACAGCGAAGGAGCTGAGGACACGGTTGGACAGCTGGGGATCAAACCTGTGACGTCCCAGCTACAGTACAGTTTCCCAGAGGGCTGAAACACCCCAAGCAGCGACTGGGACAAAACATCCTGCAGCTGTGAAAGTATCTCCCCCAGTGAACTAATTCATGAAGTGAAACAGCCTCAAAATGTAAACAAGTCTTAATGTACGAAACACATTGACATTTTTATATAGTGCCATTAAACACGTGTGTGACGTGGACAACAAAGCAATGTCTGAGACTCGTGTACGAGTTCAGTTTTAAACTACACACCTCGTTTTGGGAGAGTTATCATTAACTGAAGCTCATTGTTTTATGTCTCTGAAGAGAGACTCATCTGTTCATCGACAACGTGCTTTCATTTAAAGAGTCACACTGTCAGTTTGTAATTTCATGTTTTGTTTTCCCTCTGGTGCCATTTTGGATCCCAGCGTTAAGCTAAAGGATGCAGCCTCAGTTCAGGTGGGGATTCAGAGAAGTCAAAATGAGCCATGCGTGTTTTTTTTTTCTGGGGATCAAACCAGCATTGTTTGTTTGTTTGTGTGTACTGACCTGTGGTGGCCTCAATAAAGTGCTGTGCAGAGCTGTTTATTCTGGGTTGAACTTTTCTGATGTGGCTGAAGGTAAAAAATCTGAGGTGGTTATGACGTGTTTGTGCCTTACTATACTACGACCTTTTTTAAAAATATTTTACGGCTTACTATTCTATGACATTTTAATGACATTTTGCGCCTTACTATACTATGATATTTTATGCCTTACTATACTATGAAATTTTTAAGACTTTTTCATGCATTACTATAGTATGACATTTTTATAACACTTTATGCCTTACTATACTATGATATTTTACGCCTTACTATACTACAACATTTTTATAACATTTTATGCCTTACTATACTATATTTTATGCCTTACTAAACTAAAACATTTTTAAGAATTGTTCATGCATTACTATACTATGATATTTTTATAACATTTTATGCCTTGCTATACTATGACATTTTCATGACAATTTACACCTTACAATACTATGACATTTTTATGACTTACTCTACTAAGATATTTTTATGATATTTTTTGCCCTAATGTACTATGATATTTTATGCCTTAGTATACTATCACTTTTTATGCCTTACTATACTATG